TGGAAGTAGAATGCGTGCCGCATCCCAAAACGGGATTGATCAACGGCAAATGCTTTATCCTTTTACTTAGACAATAAGTCGGGAAACTACTACGTAGTACATTGTTATAATGTAAATGAAGTGATGGAGGCAGCTCACCCAACGATAAAAAATCACCCAAACTTTTAAAAACGCTTGCACAGTTCCGAATAACTCATATATCTTTCAGAAAATTATGTCCAAGAGAAAGGTCAACGTCACCGACGACACTAAGAAAGTTGCTATATCGGTAGGTAATTGTAATGCAACAAAATAATCAGTTACTGTACCTAATTAGATATTTCATAGGCAAAAATGGTGACATTATTATATTCCAGATCGACATATTACCATGTAGATATTATAATATTCCAGATCATTTCGAAAAGCGATTCGTTAGCCGTAGCTGCTCTTCCAGCTATACCACCTTCTTCCGACGTTATTCATTCAGCGTTGTGAAAGAAACCTCCCTTGACAGCCTTTTTGTTTGTACAGTTTGGTATGTGTGTATGTACAGCATATGTAATTGACTTGCTATTTATTACATTAAAACTAAGCTCTACTTCTGTGTGCGAATGATGGAGGAGGTTACAAACCTAATAGAATGAATGGTACAATAAAATAAGCTAGGTATACCTCGAAGACAAACAAACTATTTAAAAAACGAAACTAAACTATACTATTTACAACAAGGTATTCTCGGTTAATCTCCAACGCTGTGGATGAGTTTTGAATGCACGTTTTCTACTAGGTCGGAACGAAAGTAATTGCGGATTTACCCAATTATTTGAAAAACTCATATTTTTGTCTCAACTTCATTTTAAACAGTTATTCCCACAATAACTCGCGCCTGTCCACCATCGTCCGATAAGTTCGATTGTCTTTTTCTCGGGAATTCAACAAATTTCAATCGAAAAAGTGTTGAATGCCCACATTCACAGGAAATGTATTCGGTAAATACGATGGGGTGAGCAAAATCACGAAGTAACCCTCTCACAGCACAAGATCGTAAGCTAACATGTAGCACAGGAACTTTCATCCATAGCCACAACTTCGCGCGATCCGTCCTCGCAAGAGTGAACAATATCTATACACGTGAAGCGGTTTATATCGTTCACTCTCCTAAGTTAACCCTTTAGTGATGTACTTGAGCAAATTGGGTGCAGACCTACGTCTCCGTCCGGTGAGCGCGCTTTCGTCGATCCCAACTAGTACGTAACCCTTTTGGCAACGGTTTGCCATAGAGTAGGGGTGTCCTCGGAGCACCCTCACCCAGCTCGTGATCGGTGATCCCGCCTGTCAACTACCCTGATCGCCAGCAATTCGTGAATCAGGCCTCTTGGAATCGCTGCATTCCTACTGCATTAAAATAGGTAATTGCAAGTGATGCCTCTCTAGCAAGGCCTAGGAGCCCAAGCAGTGAACAGATGTGCTAACCTGGTCTAGTCTTTAGAACTATTAGCTGCTTTAGTCGAGTCCTCGAAACTCTAATGACAGGCATTTTTTTGGGGTTACTGTGCCTAGTGCTTTTTATTTTTAGATCCTTCGTAGCTTATTGTCCCACCGAAGATATAAAGGCAAGACGCAGCGAAAAACATGTGCCGTAGAAAACATTTACAGCAATAAAGGCTTCAGAAAACCTCTGACAATATGAAGGAATACTCTCGCCCCTACATATGGTTTCAAAAACTCGCGCAGGCCGATGAGCTTTTATTCGGGAGATTTGTAAAAATCCCGCAGAAACTTCCGTTGCTACCTAACAATTACCCAGCGACGAGTGGCGGTGGCGTAGTTTTACGTGGAACGTGGCATGCGCATTCAAATGACTAAAATCGCATTCACACAGTAGCTTATAGCAAGCATATGTGGGAGGAGATAGAAAGGGCCAACCCCTCAAATTTTCAAAGACAGAACGGACCGGATAAAATTACAGTTGTCAACCTTTAGGCGGATTGCGTACGAAAGGTGACATAGCAACTCATCGCAGCATTGGAGAACTGATAACGAGTCAACAAATAACAGTAACAAAGCAATGTTTTAGCTAGGTGAAAGTCAAGAACTTGGATAGAAATGTGCGTAAAAACGTTCACTTGACAAGGAATGATTACATGACTGACTACAGTGACTACTACAGGAATACCTTTGACGAGCGAAGAGAACTATAAGAAGACAAACACGAAAAGCCATTCGAAAAAGTACTTCATAAAAACAAAACCGACCTTCTCAGGAGTACTTCATAGATGATAGAGGACAACGTCACGCGTAAGATCTCTGGAAGCAACCATCTTTCAAGGAGAGCACGACCTCGACTTCGAATAGGAACAATCACGTCGTCGCACCCTGTGTGAACAAAATCCCTCGCTATACGCAGAAATGATTCAAATCGCTACCTTAAAAGATTGAAATTCTCAAGAAAAACCCTCGAAATAAATAATGGACAGGAATAAAAGTGTTGATACTTAGTTGACTCACTCTGCTCCTCGTTTGATACCTCTTGAACTTCTGCGCTGATCAATGTCGCTTATCGTGTCATATTTCTAAGGATAAATTTTATTATTTCAATTATAGAACCATCGAAATACGGATAAGGGTAAAACTAGAGTGAAAGTGTATCGCTGACCTTTGCTGATGGTTCTCTGGAGCTGTCCTGGGGTCCTAGAAATTAACACTTTCCGGAAATGTAATTAAACAAGTAAAGTAAGTCAAATGCAACTGAAATTAGTGTTGAAAAAAAGAACCAAGGTCGAAGTTCAATCTAAAAAAAAACACACCGCTCGCGTTGTGATCTGGCTGTGTCGCTGAGCGATTGAAAGTGTTTCGGTTACGATCTATAACTGGTACTTTCAACATTTCTAGTTGTACTGGGTAAAGAATAATTGACAGTGTTACTATAGAAAATTAACAGCAATCGTGATGACCTGCTTACACAAGATCAAATTTGGATAGTAG